AAAAAAAAAAAAAAAGTGGTTATGATGGAGCTATCTTTGGCCGCACGTTGTCTTTGTGGTTTCGACATACTATAGTGCCGAAAGACAGACATTATCCCTCACACACCTTCCTGTTTTGCAGACAGAGCTGTGTTCCAGCCTGTGGTGATGCGATAACACTTTATCGTATTTCTCTGCACATTCCCAATGTATAGCATGTCTACCACGGACAGGAAGTGGTGTTTGGACAGCCATTTTTTTTCACACAGCCTCATGTTGGAACATAGGATAACTGACCCGCATTTCCAGACAGATTTGCCAATAAGGGCTGAATCGGAATGATTGCTTCGGGCTCTGTTGGTGCAGTTCCGTGGGCCCCTCCACCCTTCCTTTTGGGCTTCCCTCTAATGCATTCTAAATGGGATTCCTGGAAGCTGCCGTGTGTGAAATAATAACACAAATAATCTCATAATTAGGACAGCTCTCATAATTAAGAATATTCATCATACATCACAATTCTTGCATGCATGCCACTTTGTAATAGATTTTTGGTACACACCAAAGAGAGAAAGAGAACCCGTAAGCGATCCTAGACAAGCTTTAGCGAGCATGGCAGCTGTGATGACGTTGAGCCCCTGGTGTTGATAGTCTGCACATTACCATTGCTACCTGTGTCACTCCAGAAATGCACCTCATTGTGTTTGCAAATCTCAGCACTGGGAACGCAGGGAATGCCTTCCTTCCATCAGGATAGATAACACAGTTGCATGCAGGGACAAGGGCAGTTGGGAGGTGTTTTTGTTTGTGTGGCTGGAGGACATCTACACATGTACAGGGAGTATCTTTTATTCTTGTGTGTTTATGAGTCAAAGTGTAGAATATTTAAGTAGTTAACATAATTTGAAATCTTCGTGGTAACTGTATTTCTGAGGAACTTGTATTATTTCATTTAAATAGAAAAAAAATAAAAACCATCACTGTTTCGTGACCAGATATGATTAAAAATATTTTTATGTGTTTATGTAATTTTTTAAGAAGGTAAATATAATGGGTGGTTTTGAAATGTTTCCCCTTTCCCCCTGATTACCATTTTAATGAGATTTGGTTTTTACCATCATAGAAAGAGTTGGTATTTCTGACAGGTCACATTGGTGTCAACAATTCTAGATTCACGATTTGTATGAGTAAGAAATGGGGCAGGGCTTTTAAGTTTTGTTTCTTTTTTTCCCCCCCTGAGATCAACTTTTGACTTCTGGTGTCTTCATTTTTTTCTCTTTGTTATTGGTGAATGGATGAGGCAAGCGAAGGGATGAAACGGTCCTCTGGTTACCCTTTTCACTGACACCCCCATGCAGTACTTTAACAGAACTAGCAGGAACATGGTTTATGTACTACCAACTAATCTATGGTCTAGTTAGGCTAGGCCACTTCAGACAAGTCACTTAATCACTTTGCCTAGTCTTTATCTGGAAAATGAAATAGGGAATTAGGGGTTAGTTAACACGGCACTTCAGCTTTGCATTCATAATCCCAATTCCTGATTTCACAATATACTTTACTAATGGCATAGTTCACTAATACATTATCATGAAATATTAAAAACAAATTGTTACACCTTATGAATTAACATCCATTTATGATAGATTGCACCAGCTAGGTGTTGAAATGGTCTGAAGAAATCATTTTGACAAAGGCTTGAGAGGACTCGCTCTAGGCAGACGCTGGGTTTCTCCATTCACCAATGCTCTTCTGTGTCCACCCATCACCTCATGTTCCGAAAAAGAATGGCTGGGCTGTGTCGTCTACCATTTCCTCTCTGGATCCTCACTAGGGTTTTCACAAGAATCTGGGAGTTCTCCTTGTGTCTCCCAGAGACAGACTTTATTACACTGCATGTGGGCTTTGGAGAGAAGGTTCATGAAAGTAGCAAGAGCACAGTCCTGCCAGGAGAGGAAACTTCCTGACCACCAGACCTTGGTGATTGGCACGTTAGTTTAGGTACAACCAGTGGAGACTGAGCGAAAGGACCCCGTGGCTACTCACTGGACCTGCTGGTTTGCTCTCATCCTTGTTACGCCTCAGAATGCTGCTGACTTCAGACACATTACCTTCAGTTTGGGGCTGGGTCGGAGTCTATCTCCTTTAGGAACTATTCTGAAGACCCTGCACTGTGTTTAGTAGCTTTCACTGACCACTACCTTGGATGACTTTTCTAACCTGGACAATTCGAAGTTGACCTGAGACATCGAAAATGGCAGGATGGCAAATTCTGTTCACCTTTTCTGACATTATTTTATTCCTTTGCTGTGTCAAGGCCAACAGCCAACATTTAATGCAAGAGTCTGGCATTATCATTCCAATTTCTCTAGAATATTATTCTTTAAATACATTAAAGTTTGTTCCATTGGGTGTTATTTTTATTATGCAACTCACAGCAGAACTAACTTCATTCTGAATGTATCTTTAAAATGAAAATAGCTAAACTATATTGGCTTAAGATGTTTGGTCTATTTCCTGTGATTTGAACTGACGTCTGAGGGCCAAGGTAACTTCATTCTTAATAAATCTCTAAACTACAAAGTGAATCATGGAAAAATAAGTAGAAGGACATAAAATATTAAGGGTTTACACTCCATTCCAGGAGATTCTGTATTAGAGAAGTTGATATTGGCTTGGAATTACAATAGAGAAATAGCTCCTAGACAATGCACTGAAATATGAACTCTCTATTGACGTTTTGCTTTTTTTTTTCTTCAAAAACTGCAATAACAGTATGACTTTTAAAAAGAGGAAAAAACAAACAAACCAAGGCGCACTCACAAACACTGACATCAAAATGTGTTAAGCGCATACGGCAGGTGCGGGTATCCAGTGTCAAGCACACACGGTTTTGAAAAGGGGTGTGGCAGTTTTTAGAACTAGGATCATTTAGAAGTGGAAAGTCACTTAGCCTGTCTGACACCAAGGGAAAGACTGAAGCAAGGCTCAGGGCAGTGGCCCAGCTTGGAATTTGTCCAAGAGGAAGGCAGACACCAGGAAAGTAGGAAGCCATGGGTGTATGAACAGTCGAAGGGGCCTGGGCCTAGTGTTAGATGTGTGGCTTCCTTGGCTGGTGCTGGAGTTGCAACTGGGACCAGGCTCACAGCCCCTGTGAGACAAATAGCAATCTGTCTGGGTCCTGTTTGTCACCAGAAAGGCCCTCTTCACTTGCATGGAGGCTAGTAGGATTACAGAGAGAAAATACACAGGGTGGTTGGCTATCTTCAGACACTGCTGAAAGCTACATCATCTTGCCATTTCATTGAAAAGTCAGCAGTAATTTTGCCCAAGCTGATTAGATCCATCCAGCACAGAGACAATCACAGTACCTATGAAGTCTAGGTAGCTCTACTCTGGTCCATGTTCTCTCTGTGCATAATTGCACTTAGGTATACAAGCTACTTGACTTCCAGATGGCTTCATGTTAATTGAAGACAAGAAGCCCATATACCAACCCTATTCTTTCTGTCAAAGAAGAGAGGTGCCAATGTTGTAGACCCCAATCCTCTAAAAGAAAACCACCAGTGAATAGTTAGAAACATGCAGTTCCCTTCATGGAACATGGCCTTGGTAAAGATGTTTTCAATTGTGGGTCCTGCGAACAATTCTCTTGCTTGGCTAGTAGTTCCTCGGCAATAATTTCAGAGCTGTGGGATTGCAAAGGAGCCCTGGGCAATGATTATACATAAACTATATTTAGAGGAAATGTTATCAAATCTAAAAAGGAGGTATGTTCTGAACTCAGCTTAATTCACTACACTCTGCCCTTCTACACAGTAACCAGTTATTACATTCACAGGGCTGTTAACAATAGCCCTTTGTATAAAACGTGTTCTTCCACTATTTCTGGTAAACACTAAACACCCCTTATTAAGCTGGGGGACTTTGCCTGATTCTGTTGGCACCGGATCATTAAATGTTTGTGTAAATATTGCAATAACATTTGATGATTAAACGGGCAGCAAGGTATGCTTAGGACAACCTAAGCTTTTACTCTTCCCAAATTAGTTATTAATACAGTGCGCTTTTTATACATGGTCCCAAGTTCAGATAACAAGGAAAGCTTCCCCTTAGATGCATAAGTGCTGTGGTGTTTTATGGTCATTTCCCAAAACATGCAATTCACTTTATGTAAGCATTTGGCTTAGAAAAATCATGTGGATTCCTGTAAGTCTTTACGTGGAGGTAGTAGTAGTTGTTTCTTGGACAGCATGGGGAAGAAGTATTAAACACAAGTAACCCTTTGAGACATGATGGGCAGCTGCCCAGAGGTGGTGCCTGCTACCCATTCTTTGGGCACCGTTGGTGCAAATGGCTTAGCAATTAGTGATATGTGAAGATAGGGAAGTGCTTGAGAAGAATTTCATGCCTGAAACTGGGTGAGGTGACTTAGCTAAACATGATGTGTGATCGGCAGCGATCGGCAGCGATCGGCAGCGTTCGGTCTTCAGAAGCCTGTGTCATTTACTCCTGCATAAGGCCTGTTTACAGTGTAATGTGGCTCAAAGTCTTCCGAGTGCTGCTTTTCTGGGGTTTCAGTGTCGAAAGATTTTGCAAGCTGATAACACAGAGCACACGAGGCATTGCTGGCAAATCTGATTTGTGATCTTACTGAATTCAGAAGACTCAGCTGAGGATTATGTAGCCTTGTAAGATAAAGTGTGCAAACCGTAAACCTTGCTCTTGCTTGGCCAGAGCAGACAGTGTTTACAGATGTCGAGGCTGGCGCTGGCTAATTCGCCAAGCGTAAAGGGGAGTTCTTTGCCTGTGCTCAGTACCTGAATGTTCAACAAAACCTCATCCGTCACGCGAGCCAATGCTGATTTTACGTCATCAATGGTGAAGCCAACTAAAGGATCCACCTCTGCCGTTTCGGTCTCTGGCTGGGGCTCCTGAGGGCTCTGCTCTTGATCCGGCACCTAAGACATGGGAAATAAACACATGCAATATTGAAAGAAAACAACATTCAAGCGAGCACTGGAGTGCTCAGCGATTTCTAGGCAACCTCACACTTGTGCTCTGTACGGCCACCCCAGGAGCGATGGTGAACTGGACGGGGACTTGGATTTTATGTTACCACACATCTCGGGGATTACAAGAGACTTTGGGGACTGTGAAGGTGGAGCCTGGGTAGGATAGGGGGTGATGGGGGAGGAGTTAAAAACTCCTGACCACCATCAGCTGGCCTATGTGTGAATCAACTCTGAAGAGAATATTTTTACTGGCTAGGGAAAAAGTCAGCGGCAAAGACAATGGGAGAACGTGAGGTTCTTTCCACCTTGGGCCGACATAATGAATGCTTAACGGGCGAGCAAAGGCAAACTCAAGCCTACCTTCTGTTCACTCTCCGGTGTTGGCGATCGATCTATGAAGGCTGAATAGATGTCCAAAGAGATTCCTTCCTCCAGTGGGGCTGGGAAAGGGTAGTCTGCAGGCTTGACCACTTCTATGGTTTGCTGGAAAAGAAGAGCTTTGGTTGAGCGGCACTGTCTCAGCCGGTTCCCTCACAGGACTACTGGCGCGTTTCCAGATCTGGTGTCTTCTTCAAGTACCATCTGCCTCAACTCTCTGATACCATTGCCCGCTTCGGTTGCCTGGTGCTTTCCAAGTACCATCTCTCCCTCATGGTTAGCGCTTTCTGCTTACTGTTTCTGTACTCTGTGGTTGAGGGTTCATTCACTTGCTTTGTTCCCTGCCCCATGCCCCTGTGTATCAGCTTGTTGTAGGGAGAGAGCCAAGCTTCAGACCCCTGGTGCATCTGTCTCCTCCATTCCTGGCAGAGGGTATGGTGCATTCTATACCCGGTAACAGCCTGGTGCTGACTGACATGACTTAGCAGGATCAACAACCCAGTAGTGGGGTTGGTCTTGCCAAGGACCTGAGTTTGATCTCCAGGACCCACATTAAAAAAAAAAAAAAAAGCAAAGCATGGCAGCATGCATTTGTAATCCCAGTGCTGTGTAAGAGACAGGGGCAGGGGCCGGGGGGGGGGTGTCCCTGAGTATCATTGGGACGCTCCATTGTCTCCCCCATCCAAAAAAAAGGGGACAGTACAACACACAAAGGTGACCTGTGGCTTCTACATGCAGGTGGGTGCACGTGCGTGTACACACACCACACACTCAGGCGCGCACACACACACACACACACACACACACACACACACACACACACACAGAACATGGCAGTGGAACACAATAGAATCTTTGAAGTACAATATGTGTATAAAACCAGAGCAGTGTGAATCATCAGAGGGACTCACTGAGAACTCACAGCGGAGCAGGACTTCACTGTGAGCAGTCCACACGTCTTTGCTAAGAGGATGTAAATGTAAGCGGAGGGAGACTGTCACCAACGGCAGTGAAGGACAAGGAGAGCCATGGGTGCCGAGGTTGGCAGGGTCCATCCCGCCACCACCAGGTAGATTGAAAGAAGAGAGCAAGCACTAACAGCATTAAACCTCTGAATCACTTAATTAGTTCCTCTTGTTCTAATTCCATGTTTAACAAGCAATGTTTTTGACTATAATTTAATTTCCCATCTCAGTTGATCTGTAAAGACATGCCTACTTGAGTGTTCTGGTTTTTATGTCTTTTACATACCCCACTATAAATCAATAACGTGTTCCAATTTACATAGTAAACTCTCATGGGCTTGTTAGCGGAGCTCTGAGATGAAGTCACTCACTGGTGTACTGACAGAGTTGGACCTGAGCATACAAATTGGAAGGCGGAACTTTCAAAAAGCATACCCCACCCCATTACTATCTTAGGATGCTTGTGGGGGAAAAAATCACAAAAGAATCATACAGTCATTTCTAAGTTCTCTTGTTACATTCCATCTTTTATTTTATTTTGGTTTTGGTTTTTCCAAGACATGGTTTCTCTGTGGAGCTTTGAGCCTTTCCTGGATCTTGCTCTGTAGACCAGGCTGGCCTCGAACTCACAGAGATCCACCTGGCTCTGTCTCCTGAGTGCTGGGATTAAAGGCGTGCACCACTGCCACCTGGCACATCCCATCTTTTAAATATTAATGTTTTTCCTTTATAGGCTTTGGATAGTGCTGGAGGTAGATTTGTTCCCTGGTTTTACCAATGTGTATGCATTTGAGCTGAATTTATATTATTAATTTTTTTTTGATGACCATATAGGTAGTTGCTGTTTAGTTGTAGATATATGGTAGCAAGAATGTTTGGCAATGGAGTGATGAAATGATTGGTCTGGGATCAAATAATTACTTAGTGACATCCATGGCGTTAGAGTCTGGGGCAGTGAGGTCTTCACTTTTGCTATTTTCAGTAAATTGTAATATGTCATCAAGTGGCCATCCTGGGAAGTTATTGATATTGCTAAGCTTTGATTTTTATTCTGTTAGATGACATCATTCCTGCTGTTTATCTTGAGTAGATTCAGTGTTCATCAGAATATTGAGGAGACATCTTCCCGTCACATTCATAAGCTGTTGCCTTTTGCCGAGTGAGGGGAGAGTGGGTAAAGGAACCCCATCTTCTCGAGGTTATGTGCCACCCCACCCCCATGCTGGGCTTGCAAACTCCCATATTGCTCTTCATTTTCCCCGGGGCAAGAAAGGGGCTAATCAGGCCTCAGGGTCCTCTGAGCGTTACAGGTAAAATGAAGAAGCTGCCCGTGGGAATCAGAGACGTGGGGAAAACGGGCTGTTTGAGCGTAGGAAATGTGTTTGGGGGGCGATGGTGACGAGGGAGTCTGTGAAGAGAAGAAAGAGTGCCAGCTGCGGGCATCGAGCATGTGCTTATGGGCGGGGGGGTGGAGGGAGTGGGGGGGCACACACTTATCTTTTCAATGGGGTAGAATGTTGTGTCGTTCACTGTCACCCACATTGCTCTGGGCACACGGGCTGGGGCTCTCAGCCTGTTCGTCTTCACCTCCTGACATTCTTTTCAGAGAGTCTCTCCACTTGGTGAAGCGGAGCCCACGATCGGATTGGCCCTCTGGTGCCCCTAGTCCTCAGCAGCTTCTACACTTAAATGCAAACAGATGTTTGTGTTCAAGTCTTACGTTTTCTCCCCCGCTCCACATACCTCTGGGGTCTGGATTGATTGATTGATTTCCTTTTAAAGGATATGTATGTATGTTTGTATGTATGTATGTATGTATGTATGTATTGGGGTGTCTGGGATGCCAGAAGAGTGTGTCAGATCCCCATAGAGCTGTAGTTACAGGGAATTTTGAGGTGCCTAACATGGGTGCTTGGAACTGAAGTCAGGTCCCCTAGAGCCTTAACCACTTAGCAATCCATCCCCCTCTCTCCCTCTTTTCTTCTTCTTTTTTTTTGCTCTCCCTTTTTCTCTCTGTATGTGTGTATTCATGTGTTTATGTGTATGAGTATATGCATGTACGTATTTGTGCACATATGTGTCTGTGTAAATATGTAGCTGTATGTGTGTCTATGTGTATATGTATACATGCACCTGAGTGTATGTATGTGTGTATATATGTATGTATATCTGTGCATCTATGTGTATGTATATATGATGTGCATGTTTGTATGAATGTAGATGTGTATGTGAATGTATCTCGTATGTGTGTCTATGTACCTGTGTGTGAATGAATGTATTAATGTGCATGTGTATGCACATGCATGTACAGATGTGCCCTAACACGCATGTGGAGACTTGGACCTCTCTGGCTCCCTACTTCCTTTCTTTGGTAGGCTGAAGCTTGCATTTATTCCCAGAAGCTGAAATTATGGCTGACAGTTGAGGTTTTCTTTCTCTTGATTTTTTGTAATGTGTGTAGTTCATATAACTATTAAATTGATTCAATTCATGCACAGGAGAGGGGGTGAGAGTTTCTTTTCTTTGCATGCTCTGCATACTGTTAATGAACCGAGCCACAGCTGTTTCTCTCCTTCACCAAGAATTAAATTTAGCTGTGTTAGGCAGTAGACGAAGGTGCCGTTTTAAATACAGAGTTCGAAATAAACAAAAGGCTCCCAAGTATCACAGTGAGTTTTCCTCCATGGAAAGTGATCGCCTTCCTTAAAAAACAAGGGAAATTAGAATCAATAATTGTGGTGAGCACGCGGAGCCAGCAAACACGCTTAAATGAAACCGTCTGATGCAATACTTTCTTTAAAAAATACAATTAGGCCTTTGTATTTTTTTTTTTTAACAAAACCTCATGTTTTACAACATCACTGGCTCTGTAATAAAATCTATTTAAAACAGAGAGACATGGTCAGCTTTATTGAGTTAGATTTTCTGAGAGAACATTATAATTTCCTCAAGTCTACGAATAGCTGAAGCAAATTAAATAAAGCCAGTTTTATAACTATTTTTATACATTCCTGTAGAATGGCAATTGTCTCATATTTTTTACCCCTCAAAAGTCTAATATGTTACCTTTTAAATCTGGAAAAATAAAAGCAGGAAGATGATAAAGTAAACATATTAAAAATATATAAACAAATAACAAACAAACAAAAAAGCCTAAACAACCTATTTGGTCTGGATTTAGTCACCCCCAGCAGAAGACTATGACATTCAAACCAAGAACCAAAGGGAAATGCTTGAAGTGACTTGCCTCAGGCCTAACGCTGAGCTTAAAAGGTAAGGTAGGGCTTTCTGATATATACACACATCCATTTGGCCAAATAACTGGTTTTGCTTGACTTTCAAATACCCCTAAGTATTACTTTGGATGTGAAGCAATCAGTGTGTTTCTCTTGCTGTTTCTGAATGCTTGCACACAAACGGATATAATAAAAACAGCCACGTTGCTGCTTCACATGAATGCCACTTATACTTTTTTTTTTTTCTGATTATGAGCAGGCCATTGGAACCAAGGTGAGTACATTAAGAGCTCTAATAAAGAAGAGAAGAGAGTTCTAAACAGAATAATGGACTGTTAAGTGAACATGCAATAAATAACGTCCACAGATGTGGTCACTTGCAAATTAGTTTTGCATAACTTACTTTCTGCATTTCCCCCAGATGTTATCTGTTACATGGAAATTACCTGAAGCTGGCTACATTGTTCTTTGTGTGTGCATTGCACTTGTGTTACTTAAGGTGGTTTGTAATCCATGCTTTACTTGACTTGTGCTACGGTATTTAAGGAATAGCAAACGACTGGCTTTTGGCATAACTTTATATTCATCAGTACAAAACTCCATCATCAAATACTGTCTTTTTTTTTTTTTTTTAATGTAAGCCCTTTACTTGTGAGCCAAATGAAATCACTAGAAATCTTTTGAAATGTGTGTTTCCAATATGAATTGGATATCTACCATGGGAATAAATGCTAGGAATTTTGACCTCTTCTGGAGGGTCAGTTTGGCTCTGAAAACATGCTTATAGGAAATCAGACTCTGTCTCCAGATCTTAGTGTGTCTGAGAAGTCATGTGAAGATGTCACGTGGTACATGCTGTGGTACTTCACTCTGTCTTCCAGACTTTCTGAACTAACCTTTCCAA